CAGACTTGTAATTTAAACATGAAGGAAAGCCAAAAACATCAGGCTGGGGCCAATAAGAACAAAAATTCTGAAAACTGATATTCTATCCCCAGGTGTTTTCACACAACAGCCAAAAGTGTCCTGATAAACCTGTAGGTACAGGTCAGTGGACTGTCACTGTTTTTATTATAACGTCCTTGTTAGAGAAGGAAAACACTGAATCAGAGAAGATTTTTAGATTCAGCAAAATGTTGTTGAGAACTGTCTCATCAACAACATTGATGAGACAATGTTGTTGATGAGACAACAACATTGTCTTCAGAGGACCAATATCTGGGTCCAAGAGTTTTTCACTTCGGGAAAATGTTTTGCACTGAATTCTAAGAGAAAGAAGACAAATAAAAGAGAATGGAAAAAATAAGGAAAGAAAGAAGGACAGAGAGAAAAACCTAGAAGAGAAGCTGCTTTTCCATTGACCATATAATTGTGCAATTTGACATTTCGAAAATAAATTTGCTTGATGGAAACACGCAACTCTCCTTTTTTGATTAAATAAAGATTTGGCCTGGGAATTTTTTTTCCCATTTTTTATTTATTTATTTATTTATTGCCATATTGAAAGTAGTTTATTTTTGTAAAACTGCAACAGAAACACTTCTTTCCACATGCAACAACAGGATGTTGCTACTGGCAGAAAGCACAAAGAAGAAGACAGGAAGTAGTTGGAGGGAGATAGCGAATAAACTTATTCAAGTGATATAAATTACATTTTGGTAAACACTGCAATTGTGCAGTTGTGTTGTTTTGACATTAGTGGAACATAGACAAAGTTTTACGCACAGAGAGAGAGAGACAGAGAGAGAGAGTAAAGTTAGTCCTCCACCCCACCCCCCCTTTGGTCCTTCTGTTGCTCCTTTGTCTTTTGACTGCTGGTCACCCCATTTAACATGGGGCAGATAGCATCAGGCTGACAGAGATTGGGTTGCACGGCAGCTCCATTGTTGGGCTGCTTCTTGCATTACAGTTGGACTCGTTCTGCTCGCAGTCTTCCTCTAGGAAGCGAACAAATTGCTGCTGAAAGTCTGTCTTTGTTGTTGTATCATATCAGACAATCAAACCCTCCGAGCCAAAACATCTGCTGCAGCTGCAGACTTCACAGGTTCACACTTTAGGAATCGACTCCGAAACGGAATTTAACTTCTGCACATTGAGAGCCTGGCCTGAGCTGATAATCAGATTTACTAAATCACTGGACGCTGATGCCTCCGCTCTGCTCTGGGTCTTAGACTGATTCACAGTGTAGGAACTCCTGACAGTCACAGAAAAAATGTCTACAAGGTGCAGAGATCCACTGGACAGGTCTGAGAGGTTTAAAAAGAAAAAGAAATAGAGAGAGAGAAACAGAGAGAGAGAGAGAGAGCAACAGAGAGAGAGAGACAGAGAGAGAGATAGAGAGAGACAGGTTGGATATTTGTGATGCTTCAGCAGGTATCTCCTGGTTTGGACTGGACTCAGTTTGCTAACACAGAGAACTGAGCCCAGATTAGAAACCACAGACTGAAGAGAACAGACCCATTAGACGGTTCTGTTCTCACATCTTACTGGGCTGTCCATGCGCCAGCCAGAACAAGCGACCATCGATAAATATATCAATATATCAATTCAGTTGAAGCATTTTGTATTTTTCCTACATTTGATACGAAAACAAATCTTTTCTTGTACTTGTTCTTACAGCGACACACAAAGCACAATTATTTTAATTATCAGTTCTTTCAATTTCAGTGTTTGCGTTTAATTCATTGACATTTTTTAAAATATTGTTTTATCACTGTTACTTTTTTTCTTCCTTTTGTTTTGATGTTTATCATAAATCATTTGAAATTCCAGAAACCTTGCTGTTAAAACACATTTTTAAATTGAAGTTTCCATGTTTCCTGGGTTTTCTATATAAACAGATCAAGATGATCTCAGGTCTGCAGCACAGTTTAGGACTTTCAGCTAAATACTGAGCTGAAGCCATTTAGACAGTTTGCTGTTTTGCAGTATGAATCTTTAAAAAGAAAATAAAATGGTTACAAGTGACGGAAAATGTTCATTTTTAATTGAGATTTGGGGACTTCAAATATCAAACCAGTGAGCAGTAATGAATAACTCATGGGACTTTTAATCCACTCAGCGTTTTTGCTTGATTCTTATTTTTACAGCTGCACGCGACAGGAGATTCCAGAACCATTCTGATTATGAGGAAATAAAAAAATCCAATTATTCATTTATTTTTGTAGAAAAGGTTTCAGTAAGCCTGTTTAGCACTGATTCGTTTTTTTTTTTCTTTTTTTTTTTTTTTTTTTTTTTTTTGCGTTTTCTGCACGTTTGCCAAATGTTAAAACATCAATTAAAAGCGCTCTATCTGGAAACCATGACAACGGCAACACCTCAGTGTAATTTCCAATATTCACTTTACATTTTTCTATTTTGCCAGAATCTCAGGACACGAGTGCATTGAAACGGTGATCTTTTGGTTTATGTGACAGCTAAACATTACACACACACACACACACACACACACACACACACACACACACACACACACACACACACACACACACACACACACACAAAATAAAAAATTAAAACTACTGGAGCTTCTGGGAGAAATGTGTTTCTTTTTTCAAAATGTGTAAAATAGAATGTAATGTTTTATTTCATTCCTTAATAACATAAATAAATAAATAAGGTATCTTGATGAAGATTTATATCAGGAAACGCATCAATAATCTGTTATAATAACCATTAAAACACATCAGACTCTGAATGTAAGAAACCTCTGAAATGACCCGTTATTTTAATCAATCTGGTATTTTTTTTTTATCCTTTACTGCATTTTTTATTAGCTGATAAAGCAGTAAAAAAACAAATCAGACCTCCCTGCTGCAGCACAAAGTAACTCCAACTATTCTATCCGAACAGAGCCACAAACTTCACCTAAACGTTCCTCTTGCGCAACGGATTTAGACCCGCTTCCAGCTGTAAAAGAACCAAATTCAGCTCATCCAGAACCGACCAGAACCTGCCTGAAACCACGCAGCTCAACAACAGGTGGAGGAGGGGGCAGATCAACCTGCACTCCATGCGCTGCGTCCGCGGACAGCGCGCTGCCTGCAGGATGAGCCGCAACATCCGAACTGCACTGAGCTGCAGGTTCACAGACTGAGCAGATATTTGCTGCACATCCTGACCGAGCAGCGATGCATTTGTGTCCTCAGGTCACATGCATGTGTGTTTTGATTTATTGCTAACTTTATTTCAGACCAACGCCAGTGAACTACAGAAACATCACAAATTAAAAACTATATTAACACTAACCTTTTTAATTACTATTAATTATATTACATGATAATAGGACTTTTTAATAATAATAATAATTATTATTATTATTTATTATTATTATTATTATTATTATTATTATTATTATTATTATTATTATTATTATTATTATTATTATTATTATTATTATTATTATTATTATACAACAAGTTAAATTTCTTTCATTTATTTATGTATTTATTTATTTATCAACAGGTGAATTTGACAGAAAGCGTGTGGTCGCGAGAACAAAAACCAGAACCAGAAACTAAACCTAAACTCATGTTTTGATCCGCGCAGGAGCAACTCCCGACAGTCAGGAGTAAAGAGATTTAAAAAATAAATAAATGAATGAAAATAAAAGATACCGCTGAGAAAGACACCAGCAAAATCTGAGACAAGCGTGAAAAAGTTCAAAAATGAAATTTCCCAGAAATCAAGTCCAAAGCTGCAGAGTCTCTGCTGCAGCTGCTGCAGCAGCAGCAGCAGCAGCAGCTTTTCCTCCCAAAAGCTGCAGCAGAAACAAACCAGACATCCTGCAAATTTACCTTCACAATGAGATAGAAGTGAGAGAATTTTTTATATAAAATTAAGTCGTTTAAAAATATCCAAACATTAGGCTCTAAATCAGCCGTTGCGGTGTGTTTGTAAAACCTTCCGGAGCCGTTTAACAAAGACACGCAGGATGAAGGTTCCTCACCAAACCACACAAGTCCAGCAGCTTCAAATCATAGAACCATCCAACATCCTGTATGCTTTGTTTTGGATGGGTTTATTATTATTACTATTATTATTATTTGTTTGTTTTCATTTCGCAGTTAGCATGAGATAAAGAACCACAGCAGAACCCAAACAAAGCCGTGATATGCTTCAGGTCCTCCAGCATGAAAGACAAAAAAAAAAAAATTAAAAAAATGGAGATTTGGCGTCCGGCCTCGAGAATACACAAAACATGTGAATTTAGGAGAACTCCCAGTTTTTCTTTCTCTATATGTTTTCTTTTAATGCAGGTTCTGAAGTTCTAACTTCAACAAAAGCACATTTCAACAGCTCTGCAGAAAGCACTCACCCCGGGATCATATAGCAGCTGCCTTTAAAGTAAACAGTGAATGGAGAACATCACTCTGGGGAACCAATCTGAATGAGTCCGAACTTCTCCGGATTGTTTGTGTTCTGCAAAGCAACGAGAAAAAAACAAAACAAAAAAAAAAAAGCAACACCGGAACAAGCAGCGAGGATCACGGCATTCAGCGACACCACGCTCAGATTAATCGCTCCGAAAAATAATCATCAATCATCCGGACGTTTTTCACCGCAGCGGAAAAACGTGGACAGAAGTGCGGCTCCGCTGAGATTGGAGCGCAGATACCGATGCACACAAAGCAAAGCGGCGCAGCCTGCAGCGCCTAATGTTTCACCGCTCAAACGGACAGAATGTGACGCTCTGAAACAATAAAAGACTCGCAGACACTTCAGCACCAGGGCTCTGCTGCCAGCAGGGGCCCCGAATCAAGCTCTGCAGCGCAGCGCAGCGCAGCGCAGCGCAGCGCAAACCCAGAACCCGGAGAAATGCGCGTCAGCATTCAACCTGGAGCCCAGAAACAGGTGGAGATCACTCTGTTGTTTCATATGGAGCAGTAAAGAAGAGACAGAGGGAATTACGTTAGTTATGAATGTAACCTATTCTTTTATTTGTGCTTTTTTAGGATTAAAACATTTTTTCTTTTTTTTTCTTTTTTTATTTTTATAAGCGACAAACACGGTAATAAGAAGAAGACCACAACAGTATCACAACCATGAAAAATTGTTTTAGAGGCGACAATTAAAAGACAATCATTCCAAATAGGAGCCTATTAGATCAGAAGGCAGAATTTCTTTTGTTAAACAAACGGGATTTTTTTTACAGCGTTCCTCCTTTTCTAAAACAAAACAAAGTCAAATTACAAAGATGATCTTTTTTTCTTTTTTTTTCTTTTTACTAATTGTACAAAAACAAGAAGAAAAAGAATCGTGAACGTCTGCGTTTTGTTTGTTGTTGTTTTTCAAACGGGCAATCACGTTTCCATGGCAAAGCTTCACTGCGGAAAATCTTCCACAAAACGAGACATTTACGCACAAAGTCGCAACGCCGAAAAGCGCAACTCTTCAATCCGAAAAATAATGCCCGATCTTTTTTTATATTTTTTATTTGACTGAAAATTAAATTCCTCCAGCGACACCAACAGCTGCTGAAATAACAAAAATTTATAATAATAATAATAAAAAAAAAGTCTAAGTGATAATTCAAACAACCTAAAGGACGCGATAAAAATCTCGTTTAAAGGGACATTTTCTGCAGTGACGGAGGATTTGAGTCTCTCCTTCATTCCGCCCTCAGCAGGCCTCGGAATATACAGCACAATACTGACTTCATATGGAACAGATTCTTTGGTCTATAAAAAGCGCGTCAGCAGTTTTTAAAACCAGGCAATGAATGAATGGAGAAGAACGTTCAGCTTTAAAGAACGTTCAGCTTAAAAAAATCACTTTTCCCCGCTTTTATTCTAACCAGCATGGTACTGAGACATGAAGGCAAATTATTATTATTATTATTATTATTATTATTATTATTATTATTATTATTATTATTATTATTATTACACTATCTTTAATAAAACAACTAATTTAAATACTCATTCTAATATATATATAAAAAAAACTTGCCTCCTCCAACAAGACAAGGAAAACGAGCTGCGTTCTCATCATTCTCTCCGCTTCTTATCTCAGATCACATTGCACGTCACTGACTGACATTATTATACAGAAGACAAACCCCGGACACTAAGAAACACACATTATGTACACAGAAATTAAAACTGCAGGAGGAGATGGGGCACAGCAACAACGAGAAGAACATGGAGAAGAATAAACCATAGTAATAATAGTAATAATAATAATAATAATAATAATAATAATAATAATATTAAAAACAAAAAGAATACCTGGAAATGTCAGTGCTGCTTTCTGTGAGTTTCTCAGTGCTGCTCTTTTTTGTTTTGCAGTCTCTCTTCTTTTTTCTATAATAGGTAGTAGTTTATAATAATTTGTCATATTTTTTTTACATCTTAAATGTTCAGTGTTAAAAACGATCACGTTAGTGTTCCAATCATTTTGAGATTTTCACTCCTTCATGGATGGATGGATGGATGGATGGATGGATGAGGTTCAGGGGATGGGGGGGGGAGTTAGTGTATGAGCGGGTTAGAAGTTGACCCCTGGTTCTGATGTGTGAAATAGTCAGACAAACCCCCGGAAAGTCCCGAGGAGAAGGCGGGTAGAGAGCCGGACAAAGCCGGCCTAAGAGTGTCACATGGCAGCGAGGAAGAGGACGGAGCCTGCGGGGAATTGGAAGCCGAAGCCCGGGCAGCCTGCAACGAGCCGCCGCCTCCGGCGCCGGTCTGTGAGCTCATGGTCGGGTGTGGGACATGGGGGAAAAAGTAACTCGTCTGTCCGGCCAACAAGTTCACCGAGCACGGGTTTAATGAATAAGTGGCCCCGGAGCAAGGCACAGAGAGGCCGCAGGGCACCGCCGAGGCCGCCAGGGCCGCCGCCGTCAGGTGGTGCGTCGCGTAGGGGAGGTCCCCACCGACCAGCCGGTCCATGCTGAGCCCGTTGGACGATGGGAACGATGAGTGGTTATTGCTCATGTTCTGCGTCAGCATGCTGCTGTAGGACATCGGGTGGCCCGGGTATCCCGACGAGGTCCCGTTGTAGCCGAGAGCACCGGCGGCCCGCGGGTGGTGCAGGGAGAGGAAGGGGGACATCGGCCAGTATAAGGAACCGGCCCGGTCCATGAAGGTCAGCCCGGAGGTCAACCGGGCACCGCGCTTGAAAGCCAGTTTGGCCCGTGACGTGGTGGAGCGCCGGCGGAGCTTCCCAGTGGTTCCACCGATGAAGACGTCGTCGCTGCTGGGATCCAGCATCCAGTAGTTTCCCTTCCCGGGGTCATCGTAGTGCCGAGGTACCTTGACAAAGCACTTATTGAGGCTGAGGTTGTGTCTGATGGAGTTCTGCCAGCCCTGCTTGTTCTCCCGGTAATACGGAAAGTTTTTCATGATGAACTCATAGATGCCGTTGAGAGTGAGCCGCTTCTCCGGACTCTGCCTGATAGCCATCATTATTAGAGCGTTGTAGCTGAAAGGAGGTTTTTCGTACTTGCCACTTTTCTTCTCTCCGTCCTTCTCTCCCTCTTTCCCGTCCTTCTTCTCCTCCTGCTTCTCCTCCGGGCAGCTCTCCGGGTTCAGCGACTCACTTTTCGGGTCAGCTTTGACGTCCGGCTGCGAGGCCGGGAGAGGCGCCTTCTGCTCGGCGTCATCCGGACCAACAACTCGGTGCTGGCTCTGGTTCTGGTTCTGGTTCTGGTGGTGGGTGGTGGTGGTGGTGGTGACTGTTGTTGTTGTCGCTTTGCACGGCCTCCGGCACCAAACTGTTTATACTGAACGACGATTTGGGAATCATCTTCACCTCTTTGCGCTCTCCCATGTCCAACATCACCGAGCAGTGAGGGGGGAACCGGCGGCGAGCAGCGGCGGGCGGCGAACACAGCTGGGTTTCGGTCCTCCCGGTCTCCACCAGCGAACCAGGACGGGAAGGAAGGAAGGGGGGATTAGAAAGGAAGAAAGAAAGTATAGCCCAACAAACTATTTCATGTTCGGTTTGGGGAGAAAAGGGGAAACACACACAACACACATGTACACACACATCGATAGGAGACAGATAGCTGCAATTAATTAGGGAGCCGCAGCCACTAAAGCAAGTGAAAAACATTGGTTGGACCTTCCCAGTCCTCAGCCAACCAGGGGAACATTAGTATTAAACATTAAGGCGTCCACTGAGCGCTCAGCCAATCACGACGCGCGGAGAAACACGCACATCCGCCAATAACTGGCCCGCTGCAAAAAATGCCAAGCGGCTCCAGGAAATCTCTCCAGGCTGCAGGAGAATGGATGAAACAACCCGAAACTGTTTGTTTAGCGATGATTATATACGTTTATTTATTTATTTATTTATTTATTTATTTATTTATTTATTTATTTATTTATTTATTTCATTTCTCTTGATGCATATTTTCCACTCCGGCTTGCATCCTATGAGAAGATGGAAATTTTACACCTTCGACAAAATAAGCGCAATCGCTTCCCGCTATGACCCTGAACTTTTCTGACACCTTGAAGAAAAACGACGCTGGCAGGACGATGGAAAACTTTTTGCAGCGCCCCATCAACACTGATCCATCCCTCCACCCCCCTCACTCTCTTCACCCCCCTCCCTCCACCTAAACTGGAGTTGGAAGCGCGCACCGTGCATGCGTCAACCCAAATCCTCGCCGCTCCTCACATTTACACTCCTTCGATTCAAATATTTGCCCCTTAGGCGTCTGCAAAACTGTTTACATCCCATCTCTGAGAGAAAATAAACAGAGAGGGAGTCCGGAGGGCACGGACACGGACACGGTCAGGACACGCAGAGGGGGTTGGTGGTGGAGGGACGGACGGACGGGGGGGGGGGGGGTTGCAGCAGACATAAACACGAAGTGTGTTTCAGGGAAAAAAAAAAAAACGTGCATCCTGTAAAATGAGCGTGAAATATGCAGCAGGGAGGCGGAAAGAGTTGCATATCAGTCGGCTGTTTCACTCCTACCTTCCTCCTGCCGGAGGATCGTTTCACCAAACAAACACAAGTGGAGGAAAAACAGAATCTGCTCATTTAGAACCGGAGATAATGAAGACGCGCCGAGGGTCGCTGAAATTAAACCGGGACAAGACAGAGGCCTGACTAAACTACAAAACTAGACTGACACATTCTGTCAGTCTGGGGGTGTTTTATTATTATTATTATTATTTTATCTTCAAGCGGGTTTTGGTTCATGCTTTACAGGCCGGGATCACATGAGCGCGTCACCGCTTCACACAGGCCGCAAAGTGAGTCAAACTGCTCCGAAATGTTTCACAATAATTCCACAACGAGCCAAGCGGCTCCTGCCAGGATCCCTCACAGCTGGCCCCCAGCATCACCGCGCTCCGTGTCAAAGGCAAGAAATGGGTCAGAGAAGCGGAGCGTTTTAGCGCACAGACACCATGTTCCTGCCACAAGGGCCAGCCTCACTCACAGCTTACCCAAATAGAAACACACCAAGCTCCTCCTCGCGGAACTCTGCTCATCGTCTCTGTTGCAGAACATCGTTCAAAGTTTCAAATCTCAACAGCAGCTCCGAGCCGCGGAACAGCTGGGTGAACCTGTTAGAGGCTGGCGGCCATTCTGCACGAGCAACGCGTCTTTATGAAGACATCTCAATCCACTTGATTTTAAAACAGTGAAGCTTCAAAACAGCTTCAAAACAGGTCACCAGTGAGAACCTGAAACACAATGGAATTTTATGTGATATAAATATAATATATGTGTGTGAATGAATATTTTTATTAAACTTCTAAATGTTTTTACATTTATTTATTTATTTAGGTATTGTCACGTGATATATTTTGTGGTCAATAACTATCTTGATAACTGATGTTCATCGCGTGTTTGTGGATTTCCCTTGCTTTCGGTTTCTTTTCTCTCTCTTTTCTTTTCTTTTCTTTTCTTTTTTCCTAACAAGGTAGATAATTGTTCTGGTTTATTGCGCAACTTCAGCGGCTGCGCAGAAAAAACATCAGAATTCTTCAATGGTTTTTTTTCTCTCTTTTTTATTGCATGAAAAGCCGCGCGTAAATTTTTTTGTGAATATTTGTAATTATTATTATTGTTGTTGTTGTTGTTGTTGTTGTTGTTGTTGTTGTTGTTGTTGTTGTTGTTGTGTTGTTGTTGTTGTTGTTGTTGTTGTTGTTGTTGAAGATAACTCCATGGGTTGTTCTGTCCCTTTGTGTTGCTTCCTGGTGGCTCAGGACGGATCGCTGAGCTGCTGGATCCTGCAGGAGGCGGAGGAGAGGCTGCGTTCACACACGACCCAAAATATTCAATAAGAACTGTTATCTGGACCTAATACCAGTTCGGATTGTTTTCTGAATTTTATTTCACATTGTCCTATCTCTACTGTAATAGCACTGTGTAATATCTGACAATAATCATCTAATATTAAGAGAATCTTTGACAAGTTCAAGGATTTTAACTAAACAAAGGCTTGGTTCATTTATGTTTGGCCCTCTGAAGCCTGTGAGCTGGCTGCATGTGGAGGGAACATTCAGACCTCAAAGTGTTCAGATGGTCAGAGGAAAAGGCAGGACTGACTCACAGTAAAAGGTCCAATCAAATCCAGGAGGGAATAAAAAGGCTTGAAATCAGAACCTGTCCGTCTCAAACAGACTCTCAATCATTTTTTACTGATTCACACAAAAACAAATCTGCACCTCATCAGGTTGTTCGGTGGAGTTTGGATCAAAGCAACCTGCAGGATTCATTCAGAAACTCTCCTGGGTCTGGATTGGACCTGAACCTGGTTCCTTTCTGGTTCCGATGGTTGAAAGTGACATTTATTTTATTTTATTTTTATTTTATTTCAAATATCAGATTCAAGATTATCACACAATACCAGACATAATTGACTCTTAATCTTTTCCATATTTATTTTAGCTATGTTTACATTTTCAACTCAACAAAAAAAATAACAACACAAATTTGCTCAAAAATTGATTTCTTCAAGATATGAAACTATAAAGCTTTGTTAAAAACTAAGAGGAGACGCAGCTAAGCACAACTTTAGAACTATATTAAATATGATCTGTTTTTGCCTCATGCTGACAACAAGCGATTGTGATTAAAAGTTGAGCCATGCTAACACATGTTCACCTTTTCAGCCTGAATGAAAACAATTTAAATGACATAAAAAGGGCATCATCACTCATTAACGCAAAAAATTATATTTGATCCTTTGATGGGGTTTTCATGACGTCCTGAAGGAGGTCGGTGCCACTCAGAGTTCCTTTAGAAAAGATCCAGGTCCAATTCTATTTATCACAACCACTAATAGAAATGAATATAAAATTGACCTTTGACCTCCAAGGGAATACCGATCTCAAACAAAAACAAAGCTCAAGTCCATGTGCGTAGATTTACTCTCCTCATTAAACCTTTACAGGTGAAGCAAAGCAGCAGTCCTCCATGTTTTGGTGGAAGTTGTGCTTGTGATGGATGTGAGGCAACATGTTTTCACCATCTGCTGTTTTCCCCTGAAACACAGATGTTTGCTTTAGCAGGAACACGTCTGAGTTTGTGGCTAATCATCACTGGTCAGCTCAAACCAGGAACCCCTCCACCTCCACCCCCCCTCCAGTTAGAAATGGAGAAGAAAAGCACAAAGTAAAACATCCAACCTGACAAAGCCGAGAGGGATCCCTGTGGTTTCTAAGGAGTCAGTGGACTGAGCGCTTCCTCTGGCTGCTCTTACAGATTGCAGCTGGTTTCCAGCCTTAATGCGGATATTTTGTTGGATTTACAGGTGTAGAAAATCTATATTTAGAAATGCTTTTTAAATTACAATTGAGCCACTTCAACTATTGAAAGCACTTTTTAAAAATCAGACCTGAAGAATTTTAGAAAAAATTCCAGGACTTGATGTATTTACTTGATGTGTCACAAACTTTTTCACTTGTCTTCATGTTACTACAGAGTGAGGGATGTGTTGTGTGTTTGCGTGTTGGACTCAAATCATTTTTGAAACTAATGAAAATCTGATGGGCTACATATAGCTGACACAGGGCGTTTCATCCTTTTTATGTTGATCATATTTCTAGGATTTGATTAAGATTTTAATTGACGATGTTGTGATGCTGTATTTTGCTTTGACAAGAAGTTCAAGACTTAGATCTTGGAATGACTTCATAGGAGAGTGTTCATATTCCAGCTGCACGCCAGAAAACCGCAGGGAGCAGTGTGTTGTTGTGATGAGCGAGCAGTCCAACTCCAGTTCACTGAACAAGCCGATAAAAACCTGTTTCTGTCTGTGTTCATCCAGTAGCAGAACCTGTTCAGCACGGAGGCTGTGCAGTTACCAACAGTTCACTGCAGTTATCTCTATCTGCGTTTCCATTAAACTTATGGTTGCACAATTTTGACAAGGTTTTTGGCACTAGGATGAGAAGGGATTTTTTTCTGGCTGACATTGGAAATGAAATCACTTTTTTGCGTCACATGAGACACATGATCAACAACCGGATGTAGCCTATGGCAGAACTCAAGAAGAAGAAGACAACAGGAAGTAGTGTCTGGAGATTGTGGTGATTTTTTAATGGCTTATTACGTGAACAAACTTTTTCACGTGTGATTTTAATTGCAATTCTTATTTAACAGAAGCACGGTGATTACGAAATTATGTATTTTCGGCGTTAGTGTAAAATAAAATAGAGTTTTGCACACAAAGCTATTGAGGCTTTTCACACATGGCAGCCATGTTGGATTGCTGTTATAGAAAGAGAACTTCTTCTGAAAACTGCTTAAAGTTTGCAGAGTGTGGTTAATGAACAAGATAGTGTGTGTGTGTGTGTGTGTGTGTGTGTGTGTGTGTGTGTGTGTGTGTGTGTGTGTGTGTGTGTGTGTGTGTGTGTGTGTGTGTGTGTGTGTGTGTGTGTTATTATGGCCAGTGGTCAGT